GAGAAATTGAAGATGTTGTTTAATTGTTGAAATATTTATGATCCACGTCAAGTATTCAGTTTCGGCGGCATTTATTCCGTTTTTCCAAAGGTCTTCTCATCAGGGCTCTATAAATAAAGAACTACGGCAGATCTGTAATATACAATGCAGCCGAACCGTGTATTACAATGCCGTTATGTGATGACTTTCAAAGAGAAAAGCAAGAGCACTCGGAATTAAGTATTATTTAAAAATGTTTTCCGGATTTCATATAATATAAACACCAAATCCCAGCATGCATTGCGGCTAAAACATCCAATCAGCGTAGCTGAGGATCTTGGGTAATCGCTCAAAATGCCTACGTCTGTTTCCGGTTATTTTTATTTTGAAATTCAGTTCCTGACGAACGCCAAAAAAGCCAGAGATTATGGAATTAAACCAATAAATAAAAGCAAGGATAATTGTGTGTTATTGGTGAGTAAATAACAGTGTGCTATTTTGAAAAGAATAACAAATTAGAAGGAAAAAAAGATTTTAAAAATACGAGGCTCTGAGCCCCATTTATTTTCCTCACAGACGGCAACACTAAAGGTCTAAAATAAAGACCTAAATGAATATTTGGGATGTTCTTGCCTTTAGATTCTCCCAATAAGTCCAAGTACAGAGGGTGACTTTGCTGTGAAAAAACACATTTCCACCAAAAAAACGTCAGCAACCATGAATGTGTACACATTCATGAAGTAATATTCGTCATAACTAGTAAACTAAACATCATGTACATGTACTGCACAAATAATCAGAAATAAAAACTCATTACTCGCATAAAATGACATCAAAACGCATTTTAATGGCCAAATGAACCTTAAAATAGGCATTTTCCACCGAGAATAACACGAAGGTCGGCCATTGTTGTTGATCACGTGGTCTGGGAGCTGTTGCAGCGTCCATAGCAACCACCTTAGCAACCATGAATGTGTACACATTCATGAAGTAATCTTCGTCATAACTAGCAAACTAAACATCATGTACATGTACTGCACAAATAATCAGAAATAACAACTCATATTAATCGCATAAAATGACATCAAAACGCATTTTATTGGCCAAATGAACCTTAAAATAGGCCTTTTCCACCGAGAATAACACGAAGGTCGGCCATTGTTGTTGATCACGTGGTCTATGAAGGTCTATGGGACGCCCTGCCCGTAGAAGCCTGACGGTCAAGGGGTCCGCTGTCCGCAATGAAGGTCTATGGGACGCCCTGCCCGTAGAAGCCTGACGGGCAAGGGGTACCCTGTACGTCATATAGCAACGGGGAGGGGCCCTGACCGTCCGTCAATATGTGACGGAATGGGAGTGAGAACGTGTTGCGCACACACACACACACACACACACACACACACACACACACACACACACACACACACACACACACACACACACACACACACACACACACACACACACACACACACACACACACACACACACCACACACACACACACACACACACACACACACACACACACACCACTGTAAAAACCAACCTATAAGATCTACTCAATAAAATGGGGGTAACAATTTGCACACACTTCTTTTGAGTAGATTTTACCCAATGTTTTTGGGTAAAGGTTACTAATATTTAATATATAAGATTTACTTTAAGAAATTAAGTAAAATCTAACTCAATTACTTAATAAAACATATTATGTATAAATGAGTAATATTTACTCTCAATCATAGGCAGCTGGGTAAAGGTTACTAATATTTAATATATAAGACTTACTTTAAGAAATTAAGTAAAATCTAACTCAATTACTTAAAACTAGGGCCGGGACTCGATTAAAAAAATTAATCTAATTAATTAGAGGCTTTGTAATTAATTAATCGAAATTAATCGCATTTTTAATCGCATATAAATATTTGACCTAAGAACAGTGAGAAGCAATTTTTTTCACATGGATTTTAGTATACCATTAGGCGCATTCACACAGCGGTACTTTTCCCACAAAGGTTCATGTGAACTTAGTTCATGTGAACTCTTTAGTTCGCATGAACTAAATACAGATCGCGTTCACACTGGAATAAATCCCTGAGGGAGGATTAGGCAAATGAAGCTGCTGACGTCACTTGTTCTTCTTCTGCTTTGGGTTTACTGGCAGGCCGCAAACCACTTCACGGCGTATACTGCCACCCGGAGTCCCCGGCCGGAAGTCCCCGGAGTTGGGGACTGGCTTCAGTAGAAGCTGCTGGGAGTCCCAGCAGCTTCTACTGAAGCCTTCCGAGTAAATCGCCAGAACGCCGACACCTCCTCATCTCCACCGCTCCCATGTTTTATTTTGTGTTGCCATAAATTAGTCTCTCTGCGTTTCTGCGCTGGGCTAATGCTAATAATGCTAATGCGAGGATAATAAAATGGCGGCTTCACAAAACTTTTTGGGAGTTTTACGGGAAGTGGTTTGCAATCCGCCCAGCCAATCAGAAATATAGCTCTTTTCTCACAAGAGAGCCGTACGAAAGTCCCTGCTCTCTAGCAGCTCTCTGCTCTCTAGCAGGGACTTTCGTGGGGGTAAAAAGGTTCTCATGAACAAATTTTAGTACCGGCTCTTTTTGGTGTGAACGCGATAAAAGCTCTTATCGACGCTTCCATCCGTCCGTTTTTTAAAACAACATTTCCCACTGTTGTTCACTGTGGTTTGTTGTTGTCTGAAGTCATGAACGTTAGTTGGTGCTCCAGTATAATCGGTACGCCTGAAACTCATCCAGTGAGAAACGTTCCGCGGTGCAAAAATAAGTGCGATTAAAATGCGTTAATTTTTTTAACGCGTTAATTTTTGTGTAATTAATTAATCTTAATTAACGCGTTAAAGTCCCGGCCCTACTTAAAACGTATTACTTATAAATGAGTAATATTTACTCCTAATCGTAGGCAGCTATTTACTTAATAATTGATCCATATTACACATTCATATTACTTTATTAGTAAGGTTACCAGTAAACAATATATTGCCACACAAGATTTTATTGATCATGTTTTTTTTATTGACCAAATGTATAAGTGCAATATGGCCATACATTGAGATTATTTAAACAGTTAAGTGCATTTCAATTGTTAACACTGAGCAGAATCTTCAAAATAGTCATACAATCACATTGTTTTAACAGTAAAGTGCATGGAAATTGTAAACATTTTTAACATAATCTTCCAAGTGCAATTTACTCAACTATTAAAACCTTTGAGTGCCAGTAAACAGTCCACTTTTAACAGAAAAAGGTTTCTCCACATCCATTACATTCCACATCACATTATTTTGTGTTTGTGTCACTCGGCACTAAAACAAGTCAACATCCACTTGAGAACAAATTGTTTATTTGCGGCTCTGGACCTTTTTGAGCAGCTTGGTTCCATCAAGCTCCAAAAACTGTTTTTAGAATACCTCAAATGTGTATTTGAGCTTGTTGGGGTATTCCAGGTTGAGGGCGTAGATCAGGGGTACTCAAATACAAATCTTAAAGGTCCAAAATAAATGTTTCAATAAGACAAAGGTCCGTTTATTACGGTCATTCAAACTTTTAAACAATTGCAACAAGATTCTTAACACGAGGTTGCAAAAACAAAAATAATCTGTATATGCAGCCGTTTTCATTGTTATTGTGTCTGTGCTTGACCCCTCAGAGTCGCAGTGTAAGAGCTGCACAGTTATCAATAAAGGCAGCTGCACCCTCTTTCATTCAGCATTCCCATTATTGCTTTATAAATGTCTTGCCCCCTTGTGCGTCCACTGAGGTGCGTCAGGCCCAACACATCTTCAACAAACTCCCCCTTTGCCTCATCATAACAACTCACAAACACCAGCAACTGAGCATTGTCAGTGGTGTCAGTGGACTCACCCACAGCTAAGGAAATGCACTGTGCATTTTTTATTCTATCACAAAGCCGATTAATCAAATCACCAGCCAGTATTTATGTTCTTCTGGTTGCTGTGCAATCTGAGAGGGGATTTGCTTGATTTGACCTGTTATTTCCTCTTTTTGTTTGCCTTCAACATGGTCTCCATCACTTCAGTCATGCATTCTTTTATACTGCAGTTATTATCCAGTGGAAAGTCCTTACCTACTGGCCTAGTTCAATCAAAGTGGTTACTTTTTTTTGGCTGGGCAGTGTAGTTTTACACACCGTCTGATTTGACTTTCTCAGGACTTAAAACAGTTTTTTGGGGGCAGACCCCCTCAAAGAAAAAAATATATTTACACACGTAAGGTCATCATCTTAATAGTTGTGTATGCTCATCCGTGAGCAGAGCATCAAGTTGGCATGTCTATTACAGCTGAATGCGGCGATTACCATCTTGTTCAGCAAAACGCCTCACAAACGTATTAAGATCAACAGCTTTAGTGCGTTTTGATTCAATGCTGAGTACAGTCAAACTGACAGTCTCTTCTCTGTCAGTGTAGACCGCAAATACCTCATTCCTTCAGCGCTTGGGTTCGAATGCTTCTCGTTTGGCGCCGTCCAGTTCAAAATGAAATCGCCGCCAATCATATGTCCACGCTAGCGCCAGGACCGGGGGAGGGGTTACATGACGTGCATCTTGTGCTGCATTCACTTGCACTCGGACATTAGAGACTTTCTCTCATAAATGTCCGATGAGCCACAACTTTTCTTTCAAAACAAAGCTGCCAACTGGGGTGGCAGCTGGGGTGGCAAGGCCTATTTTTAGGGTGTCAGTTGCCACCCCGGTAGGTGAAACTAGGCTACTAGCTACAGTACAGATGGAACTAGATGAGCTGTTAACTCTCGCTCTGAATTATTTTTTTTTAATTCTCGCTCTGACTTAGACAGGTTAAAAGAGACACACACATTTTTCCCACCCGCAGTCCGCGAAGACCCGCCCTACTGTGCCTCTGATTCGCAGATTGTTTGGGGGGAAAAAACGCTGACTGGATGCTGAATGTGATTGGACCAAAGCGTTGACACACACAGGTGGAACACAGTGGAACAGTCAGACATGCAGAGCGCTGTTTGCAGTGGACATAGCGGAGAATTTTGACTCGTTGCGAATGCGTTGTGGCGATGTCTCACATATAATACAGAGAGATAATACATATGAAAAGTATAATTTGCTCAGAGTCCGGAGACAGTGGTGGTTCGGTCCGGATCCGGACCGGAGTCCGTAGTTTGAGGATGCCTGGCGTAGATGAATCCCATCAACAATGCACATGCCTTTGTTTGGTTTCCGCACAAAACTCTGTCTCCCTCTATGACAATAGACACATCTGCTGGTCCCGTCCCTGGCATCATGGATCACAAGCACCTTCATAGTTTGGTCCACGACGTTGTCAGGCTCGTCCTCCATGTTGAAAAGAAAGAAAGAAAAGCATATTCTCTTTAAATTAGGCATATTAACAAGAAGCTACTATACAATATAGGCTTTGTGGTCTAGCATTAAGCCTAATCAATAAAACCAGGGATTGACTTTTTTAAAATGATTTGTAAAAATGTGTGGCAGCGATTAAAAATAAAACAAGAATTCTAACTTATATAAAAAATGTCAGACCCAGTCAAATTGCCCATCGATCTAATCAATGACATTAAATTGATTCTTTCCCATGAACATAACTTTTCAGTGCATGATTTTATTTATCTTATTTCACTTTAACACCAAAAGAAGGTTTTTGTTTTTAGGTAGTTTTATGTTAAGTAGCAAGCACATCAGTACATTATCCCTAAATCATGTTCCTGTGAATGCTAAACCATTTATAAAAACAATAAGATGTTTACAGATTTACAGCAATAAATTGCATATTTATTTGTTAGGTGTAAGAGTGGTTAATCACAGAAATTAAACAATGGTATCAGAGCAACCTCCGAAATAACTTCATTAAAATCTTGAAGTGATCAGTCTTTAATGACATACCTGGCTGTCTTGAAAAAGGTCTTCTTGGCGTTCCCCAAGGTCTTCAATCAGGCACCTGGCCACTGCATCTCTTTTTCCCAACACTCTGGGCCTGTGAGGAAATGCATTTTAGTGAGAAGACTTATTGCTGCATTTTCATATTCTTGAATGAAACATTTAAATAAATGTACCTCATCAATTGTGCTCAGAAGAGGGCGCATCCTGGAGCCAGCATCTCCTCCTTTGGCACGCATCAGCTGGAGCGACGTGGTGTTAGTGTACCCATCCAGTTTCAGCATCAAAGTCTCTTCCAGTGAAAGAGTTGTTATGTGTCGGAACTCCTCCTTGATCTAATAAAGAGCATAGGGGACAACACTCATTACTCACAACTCTGACAACAGTGAGTTGAAATGGAAAATAATAAACATAATGTTCTCACCTGAGCCTCATTGAATAAACCAGGCCATCTCTCCTTGAAGACACTGACACGTGGGCTGAGGGTCACCACCTCCACTCCACTACGAATTGTCTGCAGGATTTAAAATGTATAGGACTTAGGTGCCGTCTCTGAGGATGTTACACTTATAGTCACATTTCTTACACTGAACATTACCAACAAAATAACACAATTAAACATTTTTATGTAGAAAAATCCTAAAATATATAACAATGAGCTTTGGCTCTGCTCCGTGGTAATCTCTCCAGTCCTCACGATAATATACAGTAAGCTTAATGTAAACATAAGTCTATAGGCTATTGCTGCAGCTATACCTCAAAAAAGACAAATTAATCATAAATCATTATTACTGTGGCTTGGCAGAATATACGATGGTTATTTTTCACTAAGAGATAGTCGCAAGATAGTTGTCTCAGTATTGATCGTTTCATGCACGCTCATATGAATACAGACACACGAGGAAACTGACGGCCGACGTTAGATAGACTAAGAGAGATGCTACAAGCTAGCTTCAACTTAGTTAGCCTTGTGCATTATTTGAATGTGTCCCCCGCAAACCGTTACTGTACTCAATACTACTCAACCGGGTCAGAGTTCGTCATATTACTTGAACTGACATGTTATTTAATAAACGGCTACTGATTTTTGCAGTGTGCATCACCATTGGATACTGTGTGGAAAATAACATTGGACAAACACACCTTATATAGAGGACGACCAACTTCAAAGGTTGATTTAAACGAATGCCGCCTTCCGCGCGCTGTTCTTGTTAGTACTTAGCTAGCAAACAATAGCCTTCTCTGCTAAGCATGCACGATGCTAACGTGAAACACAACTTGGCAGGTTAACTTACATTAATATACAACTGTCGCCGTGACGCTTAACTCATTTCAGACGGCATGCCGTCAACATGCAAATTATTGCTGTAATAACAATTATTAACAATATGGAGCTAAACATCATAGTGCTTTACTCTTAGCTCCTATGTTAGCTACAGCTATCTAGCATCATTGACCGACTTCCAGTGAGTAATAGATGAGAACAAACTTAAATTCCTTGTCTAACAGTGAAGCAAGCAGACAACAAGTCTTGTGATGAACCTCAAAAAACGTGAACATTTATATGTAGGACATGATAGACAGTAATATCTTACCTTCCAACATTTCCACACACCAAGAGGAGGGAGGCGCGAAAGAGAACCGTTTCTCTGGCCTGCAGCCAAGAATCACCGCAGACGCATGCGCAAAGGGGCAGTGTGGGCCTAATGTCTTCAAGTAGATTTTACCCAGATTGTTTGTGTTTCAGTTGGTACTGTCAGAAATTAGGTAGTGTAGGTAGAATTTACCCATTCATATATACTAACAATGCTCACTTATATAGGGGCAGCTTTTTAGGATCTGTAAAAGAAGAGGAAATGGCAACATTGCCTACATTTGTACTGATAAAATAACAACACTTTGTCTATGCATTATTTCCATACTTACCATCCCTTCAACATCCTGTGGTCGTCCCAAAGTCCAAAAGTCAGTGCGTGTAAGGATCTGGTTGTTTAAATAGGCAAGGCGTTCATCTGGGCTTCCTCTGCTGTCCAATACCTGTGAAAGCTGACAGATAGACACATTTAGAAAATTATTTTTAAAATCTCCATGGTGTGTTCTAGATTCAAACAGTCTATTCACCATATTTTCCTGTGTTTGAGTCAGCTTCTGTCCCCAACAGGACTGGTGGGCCTTTACTGTATGAAGAGTCAGTTGTGGGGTCGTCGTCTCTTTGCTTTGATGCCCTTCATTTGAGAAAAGAATACCAAGACTGTCATAGATAACCACATGCACTATGTTTATCCTCTATCAATTTCAAATACATAGACCATATTAGATGAATACACAATTACATGCACACAGAGCAAGCTTTTCATGATTACCCAAGTTGATTCTTCCATTAACATCAAGGCTAAACGCAGTTTTCTTGAACTGTTCTTTCACTTTGTTATTTCGGTCCACATTGTAGAGGTGCAAGATATTCCTCTGTAGGAAGATGTGTGCAGAGGGTGTGAGCATATTAAGGAAATAATTGTTTTTCCGCATCCCGGAGAATAACTGCTCAGCACACTGGCTGTTAATGTGCCCAGCAAGCTCTGGAACAAGTTCAATTCTCTGAAGGAGATCCCTGTCATCTTTGCTGTTGCATTGATGGAAAACATCAAGCAAAGCATAATGATCAGACGATCCAGTGATTGGATGGCAGTCCTTGTCCTCTTCCTCTTTCCTGTGCTTAAGCCATGCCAAATCTACCCTAAGCTTCCTCTCTGTAGCCAGTTTGATGTTCTTTGGTGAGGGAGGAAGTAACCTCCCCTCATGTGGATGGAAGTAAGGATCCAGTGGTTGTCGGCAGTTGGCATGACTGGCCAGCCCCCTTGCGTAGTCATACACTGTAACTTTGGAAAATGTTTCCATGACAGAAGCATGTCGGTGAAGTCTCTGGGACTCTCAGCTCTGAGATTAAACTTTACAGAATACACGACTCCACATGGGCACATTACTACAGCCCAACCACCTAGAAAGAAAGAAAATCCTCAGTAAACTTGGTAAAATGATAATCATGCAATTTGATTTAGACAAGCTAGCATAAGACATAATTATGTGCTGATGGGATCACTAACCAGAGGCACCCCAGACTTTCTCAAACACTTTATTATATGTCCTCCTGCTGGCCATTTTCTCACGAAGACGAAGGACAAGGTCCATCTTAGAGCCCTTGCTGTCGAGGCCACACTGCTTACATAGAGCCCTAACCTCTGCTACCTATTGTGACATGAAAAGTAGATGCATCTGACTCGCATTACATTTAAAATTGTATCAGGAAGGTAGATAGAGGTTCTGGATCTACCTTTAGGTTTAACACCTCATCAGCCAGTCGCTCTTCTGTCACCCGCTCGTCCGCATCAGTGGAGACATCTGGCACATGGATCTTGGCATACTCCGTGTTGAACACAATATCTGACTGTCTGGTATGCTGTCCAATCCACGGTGCCCAGTTTTGATAACTTGGACGGACAATGAAAGGATTCTTGCCGTCACCTGAAATATATGTCAAACATTTAAGTATATAAAGTGTAATTTACTTTTTTCCATAGAATCATAACTTCCAGGATGCATCGGCAAATTGCCCTAGATTGTGTGATCTAGTGTTGAAATACCATTTCACAGCATTTTCTTGCTTTAAAACTGATGATACAGATAACTTACTGGGATAGAAACCACGGCTTAGGATTTCCATAGTCACTGCATCCCAGAAGTCTTTCACATTGACTCTACCATCATACTGCTGAGGTGGATTTTGGATTTCACTGACTGAGGAGAAAATCAGTTGAATGAAACTGAAAATGTAAAACCAAAACTGAACAAAACACGATAAACCACTGCTACAACACTTTTAAAAAGCTTTGAGATCTTGCAATGTATTTCAGTTATGATTGACTTATTTCTATTGTATAGAAAATTCAACTCAGTTAAGCTTTTTACCAGGCATAGCCTACTGTTGAAAATGATCGACAGATTAATCAACAATGAAAATAATCATTAGTTGCAGCCCTATTTTTCTGCATAAAGTCGATTGTAAAATCAATAAATCTGAAATAACCTTTTGTTCTGCCGATACAAATTTGCCTGTTTTGATTACGTAGATAATGTGTATACTGGTAGAAATCAAAAAGCCTAACCTGTAATGCATTTCTTAAAGTAAGGCACAAATGTAGAGAGAGCATCATGTGGTTATCGAAATTGTGGATTCCATCCTGCCACTCCTGATAGCGGAAGACCATACCGCAACTGGGACATGTCTTTTTGTATGTCGATATGCCTGAAAGTGCAAATGTAGCATACATGTCATATAAAAATACATTATGTGAATTGTGTTTCAGCAATACACTTTAAAGCAAAACATTTTTGCTATCGCTAGTTATCAAGTAGGCTACGCTACAGCATCCATGCAATGTCACTGACCTTCAACGATGCCAGAGTATGTTAAAATCCTCGCTTTACTGGTGATCAACTGGGGGTCGCTGAGGACACTCTGTTCAACACATTCCTTGCAAGTGATCTCAGCAGGAACAAGATGCTTAGGAAATCCAAGTGAAGCCTTTGCATTTCTGGAGTTTGCAACCAGTGTCACGGGAAGTTCAGGTGGTATTTTTTTGTGAGACGTGATGTATTTCAAAATCCTTTCAATACCTCTGTCGGTGATTGGGTAATTTTCTTTGTCAGAGTGCTTCAGTTGGCCTTCATTCAGTGAAGAGTTATCTTCTGTACTCTTAACTCTTTTGAATAGGTCCCTCCTTGTCTCAAAAAGATGCCATTTGCCTATAGCCTTGTGGATGCATGACTTTTTGGAAATCGTACAAGGGCAATGCCAAGTGTTTTTCTTTGTGTCATATGCCACAACTACCCTTCCAAGCCTGCTGTAGTATGACACTGAAGGTTCAAAAACTTGCGGGGTCTTGACTGTCGGTGGTGCCACCGGAGTCTGCAGGTTACCTTGCGGGGTCTTGACTGTCGGTGGTGCCACCGGAGTCTGCAGGTGACCTTGTGGGGTCTTGACTGTCGGTGGTGCCACCGGAGTCTGCAGGTTACCTTGCGGTGTCTTGACTGTCGGTGGTGCAACCGGAGTCTGCAGGTTACCTTGCGGTGTCTTGACTGTCGGTGGTGCCACCGGAGTCTGCAGGTTACCTTGCGGTGTCTTGACTGTCGGTGGTGCCACCGGAGTCTGCAGGTGACCTTGTGGGGTCTTGACTGTCGGTGGTGCCACCGGAGTCTGCAGGTTACCTTGCGGAAGTTCTTGACTGTCGGTGGTTGCCACCGGAGTCTGCAGGTTACCTTGCGGTGTCTTGACTGTCGGTGGTGCAACCGGAGTCTGCAGGTTACCTTGCGGTTTCGTGACTGTCGGTGGTGCCACCGGAGTCTGCAGGTGACCTTGTGGGGTCTTGACTGTCGGTGGTGCCACCGGAGTCTGCAGGTTACCTTGCGGAGTCTTGACTGTCGGTGGTGCCACCGGAGTCTGCAGGTTACCTTGCGGTGTCTTGATTGTCTGTGGTGCCACCAGAGTTTGCAGGGTTCCAGTTATTGTATTGTCCAACACACTGTGACTCGAGAGGTGCTTGGTGATTTGGTCTCTTTTTTGATTAGTGTAGCTGGACACAACAGTGGAAGTGCGTAGTTGAGCGGCACTTCAGACCACATCTAGCAATGGTGAACTCTGAAAGAAGTTAAAAAACAATAGTGGGTAATAGAAACACATGCTTTAACTATATTAATGTTATATCATACTTAACATAAGTTAAAAGTAACATAATAATCAGTAGCCATAAACAAAAGCAGATATACACAGATGTAAACAGATAGATAAACTGATGGTCAACTGACAAAATAGGATGATCAGTATATCAACTATAAAGAATTAAGAAAATGTTTGTGTAAACTATCCAACAGATTAAGATTATTAAAAGATGTGCAACAATTGTCAATCTACTAGCAAAATAGCACTGCAGCTGACAGTGGCTGACAGTTAACAATATTTTGCAGCTCTTTTTGGTAGCAATACATGTATGTATGTAGTGCTTATATGCTTATAGATGCAGTATATTTACAGTGCATATGTAAGGCTATTTCTGCTGTACACCAGTATAAAGGTAATACCTTAGTGTTCTACTTGTTTACTTTTACCCTTTACTAGTATTTTAAATATGTATCTTTCTACCTTGCTTGTGCATCACTTTCCTTTGGGATAAATAAAGTACCTATATGTATGTTGTCTGTTCACATGCATTTTGTTTGTTGTTCAAGTTATGCCCTAACATTGGCTTTTACCTTTATGTTTCACCGTTGCATGATTTTTTATGTGGTAAATCACCAAATGCCTTTCTGCAGTCTTATAAGAGCAGAATGGGCACTGATAAAAAGGTGAACCGGCGGACTGTAGGGGCACAGGTTCTTCTCCCTCACCCTCAGTAAGAATGGTATGGTGTCTGAGGAAGAACACAAAATGGAATACATTCAAATCAGAGTCTACATGTATCAAATGTTGTTATTTCTTTAAGCAGATCGATTCAGTTGGTTTGTAAGAATTTAAAAACACATCAAGATGAACAATGTAGATATTCTAAATCTATGGATTCTTACGAACATTTCAAGACCAAGCATGCTGCGCTAACTTATTGGTACGGCCATACAGACAACTTACAAGGTAGGAAGGCAGTGAATGTCTACTGGGTTGCATAATACATAATTTATTACCTTCGGTCGTTCCCTTCCATGATGTATCATCGTCTTCAAATGTAATAACGCGGACAAACAGACCAACTAGGTGAGCATATGGTTCTTCTATCGTCTATATCTCTCAAAATATACTATTATCTTCTTTCTTCTTCTTCTTTCTGTCTTATTCTTCTTCTTCCTTCTTCTTCTTCTTCTTCTTCTTCTTCTTCTTCTCTTCTTCTTCTCTTCTCTTCTTTCTTCTTCTTTTCTTCTTCTTCTTCTTCTTCTTCTTCTTCTTCTTCTTCTTCTTCTTCTTCTTCTTCTTCTTCTTCTTCTTCTTCTTCTTCTTCTTCTTCTTCTTCTTCTTCTTCTTCTTTTTATCCGACCCCGCCCCATTCCGCGTTCCGCGGCGGGGACCTTCTCCCTCCACCTGCCGAGTTCCAGCAGGAAACCCAACGGATCACAGTGTCTGGTGATCTACACCCCTCCCCCTGTTTCCTGAGAGGCTGTGCTAGATTCCACTGTAGACCCACCCATTTGTTCCATTGCAGGGTTTTACTTGGTGCTTCATTCACTAATACAAAAAGACAGCTAACTAGGTAACCTTTGGTCTTTGCTGAGGCCTTGGTTCACACAGTATGATTCCTGGACTAACAGTAGAAGTTGTTACTTCAATAAGGTTTGCAGCTCCGCCGTCGCTGTTATTGATCATTGTGAAGAGCAGGCAGACGTTTTGTTTTTTAGCAGCCATCGGATGGAATCAATACATGGGCTACCCCTGCGAGATGGAGTTCATGACTTTATGAGCTGTTCATGAGCACTCATGAAACATTCATGAACAACTCATTATATGTTCACTTGTCATGTTCATGAACCAAAATTCTTAAAATGCTCATGAACCATTTTAAAGAGCAGTTCATGAAATGTTTATGAACATTGTTCATTCATATAAAGTTCCTGTTTTGCTCATGACAGACTTTTATGAGCAATTTATGAACTTTTCATGATCCAGCCAATCACAAAATTATAATTAAAACCCCAAAAAGTTTGCATGAGCATTACATGAACTTTTCATGACTATGAGCATTTCATGAATTTTGGATGATTGTGGCAAGTTCAGAATATTTTTGAATATTCATGAGCATTTTATGAACTTTTGATGATCAGTGTGATGATTTTAAAAGACCTCTTGAATATTCATCTACTATTTGAACATTTCTTTATTTTTTAAAACTTTTAATCTTAAAACAAAACAATAGTGCATTTGAAACTGAACATTATCTGTATTTATTTTGGTGACATTCATATCATTTTATGGTTTATCTGTACTGTTTGAGAAGCAGTACGAGTAAGTAGCGCCAAGGTGGAACCTTTGGCAGATGAGCGGTGACATCTGGGTTATTTTAGGGGGGACACTTCCGCCCCTCCAGTCAGAAGCAATCCAGACGATCAACCGGATCCTGTGTATAATTATTGCTGCTGCACTTTTCTGTTTTCTACAGGTCAGTACATGATGAAAATGATCGATGTTAACTTGTGTGAATTAGATATGATGTTGGAGATGTTTAGGAGAGTGTGTCAGAAAGTTTGGAGCATGTTTGACATAGTAACGGTATTTTAAAAATACTAAACTGTCGGCAACAATAGATGCCATTTTCGCGGGCTTCAGCCGCGCCTGGGTAAATGTGACCTGAGCGAAGGCTCGCAGGCAGGTTAGCTGCTGCGCACGGGTAATATGTTTTGTTTACCTGAGTGAGGTCTTGCGGGCACATTGCCTTGTTTTTTGTTTATTAACATTGACAGTGTATTTTTGTGATCTCCATAATATGTTATATTTGGTAAAGATAGATATATTGATAGAAAGTATTATTTGATAGCGTTATGTGTTTATATTGACTATGTTGCATTTCTCCTTGAGATACAGTAATGGATTGTGACAGACGGATAACTTAAATGGAGAAATGTGATGTTTGTAAAGTACAGCTATTTGAATGTAACTGTACTTTGAATTTTGAATAAGAAGCAATCCAGACGATCAACCGGATCCTGTGTATAATTATTGCTGCTGCACTTTTCTGTTTTCTACAGAAATCATGTATTGTTGCTGTGGTACCCAAGCTTTTGGGACCCGTAACAAAAAAATGTGTGCAGCTGAGTGTCAAGAACTGTGCTTCAAATGGTGATAGGATTAATTGTAGTGCTCCACCTGTATACATGTATGTTTGTATGTTTGTTAATTTGAATAAAGTTCCATTGTGATTGACATAATTGTTGTTTTCTATGGTTGCCAATTGACCCACAGTCAATGGTTCATGTACATGAACAGTTCATGAACAGTTCATAGCCAGCCATTGAATTATATTCAGTGACTGGGTATGAACTGTTCATGAAGTTATTATGAACAGTTCTTGATATGTTCATGAACCATGGTTAATTCATGGTTGAATACTGAATATCCCTACACTTACTGAAAACTCCATTTCATGAATTGTTCATGAACCTGCCTAAAACCATATTCCATGAATTGTTCATGAACCATTCCAGCACAGGAGTTTCATGAGTAGTTCATGAACTGCCCTAGTGCCATTTAATGTTCATGGAACTTTCATGAACAGTTCATCAACTTTGTTATGAGCTGTTTATGAGCTGTTCATGAATATGGTTCACTAATATTCCATGAACTTTTCATGACAAGTTCATGAACAGTTCACTATCATCTCACCGGGGTACACAGGTTGTCATGTCCGATTATCACAAGTAGAATCATAATGACAAATACGCCGGTAAAATGTGCCTGTAGAAAACGGTTTATGCCACAATAGGATAGCAACAAGTAGTCAAGATAGTCAGATTGGCTTTGGTTGCTATGCTAACATTACCCATCTTATACCAGGGAAAGTTTCATAACAGTGTATTGCTTTCGTATGATTAAAAGTAACACGATCATCAACCTGACGCAGTGCCCCATTGTTGTTGTTGTGAGCGGCGTTGGGGAAAAAATCAGCGACGTAAACGGTGATGTCGATAACAACATTTGATACATGGAGACTCTGATTTGAAGCAAGGTAGAAAGATACATATTTAAAATACTAGTAAAGGGTAAAAGTAAACAAGTAGAACACTGAGGTATTACCTTTATACTGGTGTGCAGCGGCAGCACCAGTCGGGTTCTGAGCGGTGGAAACACAACTGGGGCTCGGAACCAGAAAAGCACAAGCACAACTGTTTTGGTGGAAAAGGGGCAAACGAGACTCACAGCTGATCACCTAAAGAGAGCTACCGAGCCTGTCACTTGCAATGTTTTATTTGTTTTATACAATGTTGGAATGTAACTAAATATATGTTGTCAAGTCTTGTACTTAAGTAATGAATAGTACTTATAGGACATAAGAGTAACTCAGGGACGAACAACAACACATTGATTTCAGTCAAATGGGACATTTTTTGAATAGGTGGATCTCATAGACTTAACATTCAGCATTCAGACAGCTGAACTCTGTTACTGCACTCAGTCCTGAGGGGATGAAAATGATGCTGACAGCTGTTTTTCAATGACAATGGGAAGTCAATTTTCTGCTAACAAAGTACTACATTGTGTCACACACACTCACACACACACGCTTATATTAATCTCTGAGAGGACATTTCAGCTCCTATAATTCTGTCATTAATTACTTTATTTCAACAGTCTGAACGAGGGTTCTACAGCAGCATGAAATAATAAGACATTTTGTACTTGTGGTAAATGTAAGCAGCTCTTCCACAGATTCCCTCTCATCATTTCCATAAGCTTCTGTGTTGCTTCCTCTTCTGTTGCAGGATGTGAAGTGCTCAGTGGTCGTTCTACACTGGCTTTTCTCCCAGAACACTGATTTGACTGATGGGTTGATGGAGCCAAAAATCAAAAGATGGCTCCCAGCAGTTGTTACAATGTAAGATACTCAGCTAAAAGCTATGTATGAGGCTTTAGAACTGAAGTGCAAAGTAAGGTGACTTAGTTAAAGTGTCAGCAGTAATGTTAATCTTTCATTTGTTTAATTATGTTCCTGATTCTTTGGTTGTAACACTGTATTCATTATGTCTTTTCTTTAAAGATCACATTGTGAGCTAGACAAACTTCAACTACCAGATCATGATAGGTGATGCTACAGAAATACTGAATAACCCTAACCCTAGAATTGGCTTATTTGACAAACATCCAAAAGATAAAGACCTCACAATGTATTCAGACTTTGTAAACAAGTCAATAAGCTAATATGGAACAGGCATTTATTTTAGATACAACAATACATCTGTTGGTTGAGGTTGCCATGGAAACATTTGAACATTTGAATGGTGAAAGTAAGGGAGGGAACACCTTGTCCTTATACCAAGTGGCAAACTCTGGGGAAGAGCCGGGATGCCAATACGGAGGTGCCACACACTGCAGTTCATATATTGGCCGATAGGGACTGACTGCAGAAAGGAGCAATTTCCATAGAGCCCCATGTTAAAATGCCCAACTTTACAGCAGAAAAAAACATGTTTCTACCCCTGGCTGCAATAAATATTATTATGAATAAAGTTAGATTCCACCTTCATGATTATGGATCTGTGAGTGAATTGTTTTCTAACACGACCCTTTTATTTATATTAGGTCTTAAAGTGTTGGCATCAATTAGGGCGTGGTCACATTGAGTGACGGCTCTGTCAATTGACTGCTGCTGTTAGCTTCTTGTCTCTCTGCTAGCTGCTCCGTGAAGCTACAGGGACTCTGCCTGCTCAGCTCATCCAGGGAACACAACGTGTGTGTTTGCGTGTTTGTTTGTTCTTCATGCTTATATATCGGACTATTGTGACTCGCTCTGCGGTTGAAACAGACGGTGCATGAATGCGGTTTTGCGGTAAGTGAAATTCGAGTACTTTATTTATGTGTTAAGGATTTTAATCAGCTACATAATGAATGTTAAGGCTTGGGTTAGCGTGTAAGCGAGTGGTAGCTACATCGGTGCTAACGATGCTAATAGTAGCCTTCAAGTTAAAATCATAGACTATATATAAAGGTTAAAACTAAATAGACAAGTGTTAAGCGTTAAGAGTCAGATTCTTAACGAAATCTACTAAAACAAAGTACTTCATTTTCTAGTGTTCAGCTTTTATCCACAAAAG